CCCACCCTGTGGGTCGCCACCCCTTTGGGGGTGGAACGACCCTTTCACAGGTGTCGCCTAAGGCCATCGGAAAACACATATATAATTACAGATTGTTTTGTGATGAATCACTATGCTTTAATTATGTTCAATTTGTAACAATGGAATCGGGGGTCACCACAACATGAGGAACTGTATTAAAGGGTCGCGGCATTAGGAAGGTTGAGAAACACTGCTTTAGAGGGTTATATTCATGCTACTATAGCAGACACCCTAGCAACCTAAACAAATATACAAATGTCTATTTGCCTACTTTGCCATTACAGTTGGAGTCTATGCACAAGAGGATTAATTATTTAATCACATATTATACATCTGCCATGATAGGGTTATAATAAATAGAAGTCAGCACTCCACAAGGTGAAGGACATTGGGAAGTTATGTCTTAAGTCAACTTAAGTCCGTGAGACGATGTCTCAGAACGATTATGGAAATCAATGCCTTTGTGTTATTATTAGTTGTGGAAATATAACCTCCTCCTGTGGACCTTCTGCTGCACTGACTGCAGTTTCACAACACGACTTATCCTAGTTCAGCTACGAGCTGTCTATTCTATTTGCTTTCTTCAATCTCCTTTACCTAATACTATTCCTTCTTCTATTTCCCATGTCCAATTCCCACACTGCCCATTGTCCAAATGCCTTTACTTGGTTCATCTCCCGGGTTATAATTTCTCTGGGTTTCTAAGTCTTCCTTGTATATTTTGACTGTCTCTAGTATCCTTGTCTTGCCTGTTGCTCTACATATCTATGAGTTGTCGACATTCACAGGGGCCAGCTGACCTAGAGTTTAGAGGTCAGTTAGGGCAGGTTTCTGCTAAGAGGCAGCCACAGCATCACGGGGAATGGGGCATGTGTCTACACTCAATCTAGGGATTAGAGACTGGTTCTCACCAGTGGTTGCTAATCCTCCCCTGATAACAAGAGACAGCAAACTTTCCAGTGATTGCTTGCAGATAGGAAACAGTATTTTTTAAATACAAGTTACAAAATTTCAGTGAGAAAGTTGTTTTCCAGAATTACTTACGATCAAATATAAAGATTTCAGGGGAGAAAAGGTGAAAATGTATGTGAAAACATTTCTACTATGGAAAAAAATTCATGTACATAGCATGTATCACAAAGACTGTACAATTAATCTGTATACAATTCAGAGTTCAGAGGCACCCATGTTGTTAAGCTAATTGGAAATACTGTTCTCACGTCTAAAAATCTAATGCTTATGTCAGTGGTTCTCAACCTTCTGGCCCTTTAAATACAGTTCCTCATGTTTTGACCCAACCATAAAATTATTTTCGTTGCTACTTCATAACTGTAATGTTGCTACTGTTATGAATCATAATGTAAATATCTGATATGCAAGATGGTCTTAGGCGACCCCTGTGAAAGGGTCATTCAACCGCCAAAGGGGTCGCGACCCACAGGTTGAGAACCACTGGGTTAGAGTAATGGCCTGTGC